AATGTTCTTTCACACACTCCACAACAAACAAAGAAGATGGATGCCGTTTCTTGTTCTTGTTGTTGAAATAAACAAGACATATACATGTTGAATTTAACACGGTATTACATTTCATTTAGCTGACGCTTTTATCCAAAGCGACTTACAATTATTACAATTATTACTTATATTATATATATATATATATATATACACACATGCATATTAGGGGTGTTGAAAATAATCGTTTCTACGATGCATTGCGATGCGGACGTGGACGATTCGGTATCGATGCAGTGACGGAAGATAATCGATTATAGCGTAGTAACGTTGCTTCCTGATTTTCCGGACACGGCTTTACTATAACGTTTTTTTTTCTGTCACTTTAATATCAAATTGCTCGGTGACGCAGAGATCAGGGAACAGACGTGACAGCGGCACAGCAACACCAAACACGAAGCAGTCTGCTTTATCCACCAACACAAGAACACCAGTCCAGAACCAACAGCAGAAGGACCCGCTCTGAATCACTCCGTGTCGCTGCGGCTCAGAGACACAAGGATTTATGTTTTTCAAAAATAATCGCGTTACAATCATGTTAGGTTTTTGGTGGATTTAATTAAGTCTTGGATTGCAGAGTATGAATGTCCTCTAGCAATTTTCAGACGATATATATACGTGTGTAAAGTTTGTGAAGGCAGGAGGAAAAAAGCTTCCGCGATCACCGTCTCCTCTCCGTTCCTCCAAACCCCGCCCCCTCCCTGAAAATGAGTGACAGGCTGATAGTGACCCGATAGAAACTTTATTATTCACTTAATCACTGAGATATAATGAAGCTAACTTAATCTCAAACATTCATGGGATTTATGTAACAATAAGACAGAGAATGTAAGTGTGCACCCACATGCAGTATTTTACTTGTTATATGCTATTGTAAATACTCCTGTTGTCTGCTGTGTTCAGACTCAAGTCCTGTGTGTGATGCCACATTCAGGACATTCAGTGTCCTTTTTTTAACAGAAGACCGTTGCTAGAAGCTGCAGCGAGACTGCAGAAGCATTATTTTTTTGTTTTTGAGGATGGAACAACTTCACACACAGATATAGGGAGGCTAGACCTATACAATTCATTTTGGTTTATAAATTAATGTCAAGACATTTATGTTATTGATTTCTGAAGCACTTTCTAAATAATAAAAAGAGAGTTCATATGTATTTACTGCATGTATGCATTGATGAAAAATAAGCCATGTGCAGTAATATAGAAAATTAAGGATGCAATGCATTGGTATGAATCGTGATGCATCGGGATATCGAATTGAATCGAATCGTTGACAGGATAATCGAATCGTGAGACCAGTGAAGATGCACAGCCCTAATGCATATATAAAATATAAATATATGACAGATGGAATATTATTAAATATTGAAAAGATTATATGAACCCTGTCTCACATAATTTACACAGTATACATTTTGAGTGATATAATGTTAATTCACACACTCAAAATTGATGTTCTGCTGTTGTAGAGAAATTATTTCTGATTTGAGATTTTTGAAAGTACAAGCCAGAGAATTAATCTATTTGTTTTTTCCACATTTGTTTTCACAGTGAGGAAGGCGATGATGATATGGCTTCTGGATGCCCGAGTATTATGGGGAAGATGCCACCAAGGTCAGGAGGTACTGCAGGAGGTGCTCTGATGCTGGCAACAGAAGGGTGAAGACACATGTGTACTGCAGGAAGTGTCAGGTCCCTCTGTGCTTCACTACCAAAAAGAACTGTTACAGGTAGTGCTGCGTACCTGGACTCACATTCAGGTTCAGGTCCGGACTCAAGTCCAGAGGTTCAGGTCCGGACTTATAAGTCCTTTTAAGATGGACTTTTATTAATCCCTCGTGGGGAAATTGTTTCTCTGCATTTGACCCATCCTAGTGTTAGGAGCAGTGTGCTGCCATTTTGAACGGCGCCCGGGGAGCAGTGTGGGGAACGGTGCCTTGCTCAGGGACACCTCAGTAGCACTTGGTCTTTCCGGGACTTGAACTGGTGACCTTCCAGTTGCCAAGCCAAGTCCCTATCGACTTCGCCACCACCGCCCCGTCCGGACCTGAACCCATGGCTTGTGTCAAGTTGTGTGAGGAACTAAAGTGAACTTATTGTGAGCTAATTATCAATTGAAAATTAACTCATCATCAACTCAAATTCAAACTCGTCAGGTTTGTTGTGCTCCCTTCCAACTTGTGTCTACATTTCTCTACAAAGTACAAATGTAAAAAAAACACTTTTTGCCACTTAGTCTACAAATGACTTATGACAGCAACTACAGTGAACTACTACAAAGTTCAAACATTTATTTCATTTACCAAACTAAAGTAACCAAACAGTCCCTGAGCTGACTGAGCCTAAATCCCTAAAATGTTGCTGAAAGGTAGAGTGTAGAGTAGACTATACGCATTACACTGTTACACACCTACTATACAGTATAGGCTACACTGTAGTGACTGACTGTACAGTCAGAGTGTACTGTACTGTCTGTACACCATGTATTTTCTACAACTCTACATGTGTACATTATACAGTATACTACATACATAGTGATGTACATACATACTGTTAGAAATTAAAATCAATATTGATATGGCGTAATTTTGAATTAAATACACTATTTAATTTAAATCAGTTTTATTCTGAAAAAAACGGAAGTTCACACTATTAACTTAATACTTTTATTCTGAAAATTCTTCACTTCCGGTTAGCATTAGCATGTGGCAAAATGCTACGTTTTCAAACCGTGAATCGAAGGTGAAATGACATGTGATGTTGTACACTGAGCACACTGGGATTAGCACTCATTTATTGACGCTGAATAACGTTTATCAGGGAATGTTTAAATAACCACAGGCACCAGAATATACGTAAGTGCTAGTTTTTTTGCGAGTCCAAGTACCGGTTCCCGACTTTCCGGTTTTAACCGGACTTGAACCGACATTTTTTACAAGTCCAGTACCGGTTTGGCGTACCGGTATGCAGCACTAGTTACAGGGCATGGCATGACTTACTGGAGTAATACTGTAACATTCAGGGTTTGTATAAAGTTTATTTTTTTTACCCAAAAAATGCTTGTTGTATAGTGTGTTGCTAATTTTTTTTAAATAAATCTGCTCCAGTTAGAGTCAAATGTTTCCTAAGTTTCCTAATTTTTATTGTGCAAGTAACATGCATCTCATGCAAAGAGGGAATTTCACACACACACACACACACCACACACACACACTTATTTATTTTTTACAATAATTATTATTATTTTTTTTTATGGAATAAACCCCCCCCCCCCCCCCCCCCCTTTCTTGGCTATATAAAAATCGCTGGCCCGCGATAGTGTCTATCGGACACATTTTGGCCCTTGGACAAATGTAGTTGGTCATCCCTGCTGTAAGGGAATACATTTGCCTATTTTGTATCCTGATGACCTAATGCTACATATATACATGTAATACTGATTTCACCCATCTGCAACCGATTCGCTAATAATCACAAATGTTCATTTCTTTGACCCCTTGACTGGAATATTTCTTGTTTAATAATCGTTACATTTCCTCAGGACCAAGTTCCCGTGTCCTGTCTTTCACCTACTGATCACCCACTGCTCATTTAAGGTGGACTGACCTTTACAATGGACCAGCTAGCCTTATGGCACATTTCCACTGCAGCGGGGTAGCCCCGTTTGAGCGTCTCTAATGGCGCGTTTCCACTGCAGGCCTCGCTCGGCCTCGCTCGGTTTGGTTAGGCCTTATTAGGCCCGGCTCGTTTTAATGCTGCGTTTCCATTACAGTTTAGGAACTGGGGCAGTTACTATAGTAACGCAGTGTAGGCGGAGCCGTGACGTAATCTTCAATGAGAGCCCCAGAAAAACAACACAGCCGTTAGCTCTTAGCACTCAGAGCTCACAGCTCCTCATATCTGTTCAGAAACTTGACAAAAGTTAAACAAGTACAAACCACAGACTGCCTGTGTCATGGCGAATACGGTCGCTGGTTTATTTATGTCTGTAGGCCGTTGTTGTGAGTGTGGACGGTCGGAGCATATAATGTTAGCTTAGCCAAGCTACATTTAGAAAACACGCATTTTAAAAGGGTTTTTCGCCTGCCGTCTGTCTGCAGACTTGTCAAAGCATTAATTCCTGGTTTTTACTAACCGGTATCAGTATGTTGTTACTTCGGCATCATTTTGAAATGTGCATTACAATTGAATCACGGTCAAATATGTTCATCTTGTTGTAGATGTAGCCCCCTTGCCAGCGATTCTCTCTCTTGTTTAGCATACTCAGCCCGACTCAGCCTGGTTGTTCCTGGCCCTAGGACCACGATTTAGTCGGGCCAGAAAAAAGGTGAAAAAGTAGCCCCGGGCCAAAACTAGACCAAGTGGAAACGCTTAAAGCGAACTACCCGCTGCAGTGGAAACGCGCCATAAGCGTCCTCGCTCAGGCCTCGGGCTGCCTCGCTGGCCGTCCGAGACTGTGGCGCATTTCCATTACAGTTTAGGACCTGGGGTAGCAACACAGTGTAGGCGGGGCGATCAGCTTTTTTTTTTCACATTTGGAGTTGTTCCGTCGAGCTCCCGCTGGATTTGATCATTCCCAATGAGATGTAGGAACGTCGTCACCTCCTCGGTCGACCGCGGTGTGCTTTCCTTTGACGTTGCCATTTTTGTAGCTCCTCCGTTTACAAAAATGCTGTGTATAAAAATGCTGCAAACTTGCTTCTAGATGTATATGCGACGCTAGGGATGATCTCGCGCGCGATCTTGTGACGATTCTCTCTGACCAATCAGCAGTCGAGAGTGTTGACGTCACTAGTTCAGCCCTGGCCTGATAGAACCACGATTTTATGGGGCCGGAAAAAGAGGGAAAAAGTACCCGCTAGCCGGTGCTACGCTATATGGAAAGGCCACCAACAACTGGCCTGGCCGCTTGAGGACGATTTAAGGATGCTTAAACGGGGCTACCCGCTGCAGTGGAAATGCGCCATTAGTGTCTTGATGCAAACGTTTTGTAAAGTGATGCTCGACCAAAGACGTGCTGTTGGGTTGTGTGCTCTCTGCAGGACAGTGTCTGTACTCAAAGATTGTTTATGAAATGAGAGCTTCACTCTGTTTTTGGTGTCCAAACGATGGCAACAGAGCGATACGTCTTCTTTCCAGCAGATGGCATAAATGTTACATCATCCAGTTCAACTGTCATCCACATATTAATGATTCAAAACATCAATGTAAGATATGGCTCGTAAATTGACTATTTCAACAGAATGTGAAGGGGTTACAGTCTTGAGGCCATGTCCAATATGTTTATGTTTTGTTTGATTAAATCTACTGAAATGAGCATTTAATTATTACATTATTCTTAATTACTTTCATTACATCATGGGTTTGCATTGCAATATTAGAACGCATAAAACCCAACTTTATTTCTTCTAAGTTGCGGGTGTTCATTGTTTAGAAGTCCGCTGTGTTTCATCCAAGCTTCTTCTTTGTGCTCCGATAATGCTGAAAGTATCTGTTGTATGCTTTACCTGCTCCAGTAACAAAAGTGTAGTTCACTGGACATCGACAAGAGATAGTGGATGGATCCAGAGGAGAACCAGAAGATAGCCCGTATAGAGCCTTCAGGTTCTGAAAATGATCAGGGATAGAGCTAGAAGATAGCCAGTATAAAGCCAAGAAAGACCAGTAGAAAGACAGGAAGGAGCCAAAATAGTTTGTATTTTTTATTTTGTAATATTCAAGCTCTTCTCTTAAGATATTAGAACTTCCTATCACAACATGTATCCTTTTATTCCAATTAAAAAACGCTACTTTTTTGCTGCCAATTGTTGAGATTGTTTCACAGCTTTATCTTAAATATTTAGACTTTTTTCTTTGCATATAGATTACATAGGATGAACAGCACAATCCACTCTGCTGGATTCTGCTCTAAATGCATGCAAACATCTCGCTGTATCCAAACTCCTGCAGTTGTATTGTTCTGGATTCATAGTGAAGTGTATTAGATGTTCTGCACTGTTATTGTTATGTATTCTATGTAAAGTGAAATACCCATAACAAAATTCAGAAAAGAAAAGTGACTCACTTGAGGAAAAAGGTTCTGAACCAGTGAGAGTTCTTCATTTGCACATAAACATGGTAAAATATTTAGAGTTGTGACCAGATGGTGTCGCCCGCTGCACACATTTAACGCTCTGTATTTTATTGATTTATTTAGCCTTTTATACCACACTGCAAGTCTGACATTTATTAATGAGACTACAGGAAGTTACACTGCAGATTTAAACACTTATAAACACAGCTCAAGTGTTTCACAGCCAGAAATATTCAAGCAGAAAAATCAGTGCCTGTTTAATCAAAGGGAAAGCAATCATCTAAGACAACATTTGTGAAGCGGATACAATCAACTCAGCGTACAAGACACATAAATCCTGTGATGTTTGGACATAATCCAGGCTCTATGTTCACATAGAGAATGATATCACAGTGTTTTGGGGCCTATGTCGGTTAAAAGCCAGCAGAAGGGTGTATTAGTCTGTCAAATAACTCGTAAAGTTGTAAATTAACAAGAAATAAACTGTGATAGTGTTTGAAGCTTGTTCTCCCCCAGCTCTCCTACGTGATGTCCGGCTGGCGTTACTTCGTCTGCCCGGTGGAGTTCAACAACGACTCCAACCGGTTCCAGGTGGACTGCGAGCCGTTGGAGCTTTTCCAGCTGCAGGACTACACCCTGCCCTCCGTCCTGGAGTCCTTCACCGGATGGGTAAGACTCTCCTGACATTCATCTGTCTTTCCTGTTTTCTGGCATCACAAGTCATATAAACATGAATGTAACTTGAAACAATAAAATCACTGTATTGCAAATCCAGTATGCCAAAAAGAAAAAGGGATCCGTAATATTTGTCAATATTCCGCCGATATTCCGCATTTGACCGATTATCGGTATCCGCCTTTTTTTTATCAAATTGCTGATAACATTTTGGCTCTGATGAGGCCGTTTCTCTGGCTGCAGTCACCACTCTGTGTACACGAGCAATGTCCCGCCCACAGCGCTATCTGATAGGCTATTACTGAAGATTTTCCGGGCGGGAGCCAGCCAGAGAGGCGGGACCTTCTCAGATTACAGGCAGGTGCGACGCAGACACAGACTGAAGCAAGCAGCAGCGCTGAGCGGCAGAGCCATACATGTGTTAAACCGAAGGTCAATAAACATCCCTATCCCCTATGCTGAAGTTGCAAAAACACCACGATCTTATGATCCAATTCTATCAGTTTCCCAGTTACACAGGGACGCGGGAAGTCAGTCAGAGTTGGGGGTGCGTGCAGCGTCTCGCAGCGGAGTAACTGTGGTGCGGACGGGGGGAGGGGCTGCGAGTGGAGCCTCGCAGTTTTTCAGGTTGATATGTGAAGCTCATTAGCTAGCCAACATGTATCTAGCAAATGTTTAGCAAAATATTAGAAGTGAGGCTACTAGACTAACGTTAGGTCTACTGTAAAAGCCTCACTTTGAATAGTTTGCAAAACATTAGCTAGCACTAGTGTTTTACAGTTGCTAGCAGCTTATTAGGATTTTATGCTAGATAGACAGATATAATAAATTAAGCATTATTGTTAGTTAAGCATGTCAGCCTGCAGCCCCACTTCTTGTATCTCTCTCTAACTCATAGCAGATGACTGCACTAAAGAAAAGGGCACAGAGAGTTGGCAGTTGTAAGATGTTTGGCAGTTGTAAGATGTTTAACAGTTAATTAAACATAATATATGCTTAAATGCATTTCAAAGAAGTTGTGTTGAGTTGTGTTGTAGTTTGTGTTATTCTACATTTTGACACCAAGATTTTCTGATTTGACTGCAAATGTATATCGGTTCCAAATATCGGTTATCGGTCTCCTTGATTACTAATAATCGGTATCGGTATCGGCCTTGAAAAAGCCATATCGGTCGATTCCTAGACTCTCCTAACCTTTATCTGTCCTTCCTGTTTTCTGGCATCACAAGTCATGTAAACATGAATGTAACTATGAAACAATAAAATCACTATATTGCAACTCCAGTATGCCAAAAAACAAGAGGGATCCGTAATATTTGTAGAATCATGTATGTGTCGCAACCTTTCAAACACTTTAATTGTGTCATCTATGTTATTTAGTTTTAATCCTGTGTTACTCATTAAGTAAAGTTAAAATATATCTAAATGTGGTTTCTAGAGTACACAGAACCTAAATCCCGTTTAACACCAGGATTTTATCATACGTTTCAACCTCATTATATTTTTCTCAGCCAGGTTTGATTTAGATACTAAAAGCCTGGGGATGCAAGTCCTATTTTAGCCAAATAACTAGTAACTAGTTTAGTTTCACTGAACTGCTGGTCTCTGTTTCAGTCTGACACATGTTTCCTGTCTCCGCAGACCAAGGTGCGTCTGTATCCGTTCCAGATCCACAGCCTCGCTCTCTCCTCCTTCGCCTCCATCATGGGACCCTTCGGAGGATTCTTCGCCAGCGACTTCAAGACATCCTTCAAGATCAAAGTAAGGATTTCTGACACGTTTGTTTACTTCAAAACAATCCAACTATCCTTTTATTGTCTGTTGTCTTTGCTCCATGTATATTATATTCATAGCAGCAGTCTGATCACACGTACTGTTGTTTGTTCTTCCAGGATTATGCCAACACGATCCCGGGTCACGATGGCATTATGGACCGGTTCGACTGCCAGTACCTCATGGCCACATTTGTTAACGTCTACATTGCCAGCTTCATCAGGTAAACACACAGCTATGGTTTGTTCATATGTTGTATAACCTAATCAGCAATGTACAGTGACAGTGAAGAAATTCATCATCAAAGTTAGTGGTTATTTATTTTATTCCTGACTGTTAGAGACAGCATTTTATTTCTCCAAGAAAACAAACTGTTGGTTGAACATTAAACTAGCTAACTTGCTAATAACCATTAAAGAGTGATCTCTGTCTCTTCTTGAGTTGTGTTATGTCTTCCTCTGACACTGAATAAATAAACAAACATGAAACAAAAGTATGAATTTAGTTTGAGACTTTTCAGTATTGGTTTATATCGCTGTAGGGTGCCTTTGAGACTTCATGAAAAAAAAGATTTTAAATGTAACTTCATATTGAGTTTACTATGTAGATCAGGCTCTAAAAATGCTATGTAGTCAATTCCAGCACTTTTTATAAACGAACTCAAAGCAGATAAAGCACGTGGTTCCAGCTTGAACCCTCAGAAAAGGAGTCCTCAAGTTTAACATGTTCATATTTTTTGTTTCAAATATTTTCATTGAGAAGATGCATACAAGTGTTAGCAATGGTACAGACTTCTTTTCAACATAGTTTAAGCAATTTACTCACTTTTTTGTAACAACATTTGCTTCATTATGGCAATCAATTTCTAAAGCGATAATGAATGTATAGACTCTTCCTTTTCTCCCTTTTACACTTTCACTCCATCATTTCATTAATGTCATTTCATGTCTTAACTTCTTAAAGTATTTATTGACTGTGAAAAAACCTTTTCAAAGGGACTATATTGTACATTTCAGAAGATGTTTAGAAACGGTGTTTGTCAAGTTCTTCAGGGTTTTGGCATGTACATAGTGATTTAGCCCGAACTTGAGAGGCTGCAGGGCAACAGAGGACGCTTGGAAAACTCGGATTTTGTTCTTTTTTGTCTTTATTTTTAAAAGACAACTCCAAGAATTTTGGATTTTGAAAACCTTCAAAACACAAAGGACATATCTAGAAGATATGTAGAAAATAAACTTATTTTAGATACGTTCATAACAAACGTAACGTGGGAGAAAATACGTTTCTAGCTAAACGTAATTGAGAATGCAGTTTAGTTCTGTGGGAACGTCATTTTTAGGAGACAGGGTTGAAAATACACATCAAACAAACGGAGCGCAGGCAGACCACGCTGCGTAAAAAGCCGTCGATTGCGCAACAGCACTCACACAAAGTAATCAATCAATCAACCAATGTTTATTTATATAGCCCAATATCACAAATGTTACATTTGTCTCAGTGGACTTCACAGTTTGTACAGAATATCAGTATGACAATACGACACCCTCTGTCCTTAGACCCTCACATCGTACAAGGAAAAACTTCCGGAGAAAACGCACAGTTTAAAGGGAAAAATGGGAGAAACCTCAGGGAGAGCAACAGAGGAGGGATCCCTCTCCCAGGACGGACAGAAGTGCAATAGATGCCGTGTGTAAATTGAAAATATAATACATTTGCAACATAGGTAATCCAAATGTTTGGAAATGCATGTGTGTATAATAGGAAGATGAATCCACGAGGATATCCATCCAGGACCTATGATCCAGGACCACAGCCACGACTCAAGATCCAGGGCTCGCGATGCAGGACACAGGACCGCAGGATCATCCATGACTCCGGATCCCAGCGTATATAGACACCAAAAAGAAAGAAATTTGGGGAAGCTGGGTTAATCGGAACATGAGAGTACACAGGTATAGACAGAGAGAAGAAAGAAGTAAGATGTCCCCCGACAAACTAAGCCTATATCAGCAAAACTAGGGGCTGAATCTAATCAGCCCTAACTATAAGCTTCAAAAAGGAAGGTCTTAAGCGCACTCTTAAAAACGGATAGGGTGTCTGCCGCCCAAACACAAACTGGAAGCTGATTCCACAAATGTGGAGCTTGATAAGAAAAGGCTCTGGCTCCCATTGTACTTTTAGAGACTCTAGGAACAACCAACAACCCTGCATTCTTGGAACGCAATGCCCTAATAGGACAGTAGGGTATAATGAGTTCTTTAAGGTAAGATGGCGCCTGCCCATTAAGGGCGAGAAGAAAAATGTTCAATTATATCCTGTGTTCTATAGGGAGCCAGTGTAAGGCAGCCAGAACAGGAGTAATGTGGTCCCTTTTCCTAACTCTGGTTAGTACACGAGCCGCAGCATTTTGAATCAGCTGAAGCGACTTGACTGACTTCTTGGTACACCCTGATAATAAAGAGTTACAATAATCCAGCCTTGAAGTAACAAATGCATGGACTAGTTTCTCTGCATCGTTTTGAGGCAAGATATGTCTGATTTTTGCAATGTTACGTAGATGGAAGTAGGCGGTCCTTGAAATTGATTTTATGTGGGCGTTAAAGGATAAATCCTGATCAAATATAACACCAAGATTCCTTACAGTCTCACTGGAGGCCAAATTAATGCCATCCATAGTTAGTATATTTTTAGATAATTTATTTCGTAGATTCTTCGGGCCAAGTACAATAACTTCAGTTTTGGTCGTGTTTAACATAAAAAAATGTAAGGTCATCCACGTTTTTAAGTCCTTGAGGCAGTCTTGAATTGTATTTAGATGATTAATTTCATCAGCCTTGATTGATAAATACAGTTGAGTATCATCCGCATAACAATGAAAGTTTACAGAATGATTCCTTATAATATTGCCTAACGGAAGCATATATAATGTGAACAAAATAGGTTCCGAGCACGTGGATATGTGGATAATTATGTAAATGATGCTGTATGATGTCCTTTTGTTGTTCTATGTATGTTTTTATGTTTCATGTGGAACTACTTGAGCAGGTCTCCCTTGGAAAAGAGATCAATGATCTCAATGGGATTTATCTGTATAAATAAAGGTTTGAAATTAAATTAAAGGGAGTGCAGTCAGTCCAATATTATTTAACATCATGCATGATTAATGATATATTGACATGCTTAGACACATGCATACAATCGGCTCTGTGCGCAGATGATGGGGCTATTTGGATGAGAGGAAGAAATGCCCCATACGTAATGGAGAATATAGCTAGAGCGATTAAAAAAGTGGAGAGGTGGTCATATAACTGGGGATTCAAAATGTCAGAAAGCAAGTCATGCTACATGGTATTTACAAACAAACGCAAGATTGATGGCCAACAGCTAACACTATAGGATCGTCGAATGACAAAGGTGAATGAGTTCAAATACCTAGGACTGTGGTTTGATAGCAAATATACATAGAAAATGCATATTAATCAAGTAGAAACAAAATGCAAAAAAGTATTACATTTATGGCGAGCTGTAGCTGGATGCAACTGGGGCGCAGATAAACAAGCATTAATAGACATTTACAGATCAATTATGAGGTCCACAATAGACTATGGTTGTATAGTAGTTTATGGTGCAGCAGCAAAAACATCGCTTTTAAAAATAGATAGAATACAATATAAAGCATTGCGGCTGTGTATTGGAGCGATAAAGTCATCCCCTATCAATGCAGTTCTGATAGAAGCAGGAGAGACGCCTCTGGAGATCAGAAGAGAGAAACGTGCTCTTTGTCATACTGGATCAGGGTACAAGGAAATGGAGAGGGAAATATTTCAAACAGAATATTACAGATTTGCTGGGAATATGCAAAAAAAAAGGGACGTGGGTTTGGATGGACAAGTAAGGAAAGAACGAGGGCATATGGAGTGGAGAATATCACGTTTGCCAAAGCAATCCCATTTAGCAGTGTTCCCCCATGGCTGTTCCCAGAAGCTAACATAGATATGAGTATTTTAGAAAGGAAAAAAGAGTGGCAAATAAATGGAGTGGGAATTAAAACAAGTATGTATCTGAACGAAAAGTACTACAATTTCCTACAAATGTATACAGATGGTTCTAAGAACAAGGAAGAGTGTGTTGGAGTTGGCATATACATCCCAGACTTCAAAATATCTATTTTAAAAAGAGCATCTGATCAATTATCAGTGTACACAGCAGAAATGCTTGCTGTAATAATATGATTACAGTGGGTTGAAGAGGTCAGACCAGATAGGGTGGTTATATGCACAGATTCATTGTCCATATTACAAAGCATACAATCAACAACAACAACTACCAGAGAAGACATTCTCATAGAACTGAATCATAGCCTGTTAAGACTTCACAGAGGCGGTATAGATCTGCAGTTCTGCTGGGTGCCTGCACATGAGGGGGTGGAAGGGAATAAGTGTGCTGATAAATAAGTAAAAAGTGCAGTACAAAAGCAAATAACATTACCAGTTCAACTTGGAAAAGGAGAAGGAAAAGCAGTCATTAAGAAGAAAGGGATGGAGATCTGGCAGAAAAGGTGGGAGAAAGACCAGAAAGGCAAAGAGTATCATAAAGTTCAAAAGACAATTACAATTAATATTTATAAAGAAAGAAACAGAAGGGAGGAAATCATGATGGCTAGACTCAGAATAAATCACACAGCATTGAATAGTACGCTGTATATCATGGGGAAAAGTGACAGTAAAATAAGATGTAGAACATATATTGTTACATTGTGACATCTATGAAGCGGAAAGAGAACAATTAAAGAATAAAGTCTTAGAGGCAGAGAGGGAATGGAGTGTGGTTGGTGTTTTGGGAACAAAAGGAGAGGGAGTAAGAGCTACCAGAAAGTCACTGTTTAAATTCTTGAGTGAAACTGGGGTAGGAAAAATAATTTAACATTAGGTCAGGAAAGAACATAGATTTGTTTTTTGTTTTATTTATTTCATGGTTTTATTGATTGATTGATTTATTTTAATTTAATTTGTATTAGAGCACAAGTTAAAGAGTTGGAATGATGTGATGATTCATACTCATGTACAGTAGGTGGCGGTATGCACCTTTTTAAGTTGTTTGCAATCCGCCAAAAGCAAGAGAAGAAGAAGAAGTAATCTCTTTCTAACCTGGATCGAGGAGGCGTCACGTCGCTACGGTTCTCTCTCTCTCTGTGTTCCGATAAAGTGTGTGTGAGCTCCAGCTCTACTGATCCATCATCTGTGTGTCTGGATAAACCTCCGAATGGACTCGGTGCTCTTTTTTCTGGAGCGTTTACCTCGGACTATAGGAGCTAGTTTAGCATGCTAGCTGGAAACACGTTAGCAACACTAGTCAGATTGAGAGTTTGATGGAGAGAGAAACGGTGTGTTTAACGGAGTTAGCAGGAAAAGGTGATCTAGTAAACATGAGTAAAGTCCAAATGCTGCTGTCGTTGAAGAAGCAGCGACTCACTGCTGCTGCTGAAGAGATATTTGCCCTGTTTGAAAAAACAATAGCAGAACTCGTGGAGGAGCTGTCTCTTTCCAAAGAGGAGAACGAGAGACTCCAGAAACTACTGGACGCTGTTTTACAGCCTCAGCTTCGGATACACAGAGCAGGTCTGTTCCCTTTACTCTTAATTAACACTTTAAACCAGGGGTGTCCAAACTACGACCCGGGGGCCAATGCGGCCCGCTGGCCATTTTGAATTGCCCCTCAGCTAATTCAAAAAGTATAATTTTAAATATGGCCCACAAATAAAAGTTGTGCTTTTCTTATATTGTACTAATTAAATATATATGTACACGTATATTACACAGTAGTATTAATGTGTTAATTAGCCCACTTAAAAAAATTAATTCAGTCAATTCATGTTGATAATATTTTCTAACAAATCTTAGTTGTGTGGGGCCACATTATGGGACATAATTCACCATGGTATTATTGTGTGTTGCAACACGGACCAGTGAGTAAAGGTACCGTGTGTAGGTTGTCATACTAGCTTGACATGTATTAGCAAGCAGATGTAAGTACAAGAAAAGGTAAGTACCTTGTCTTGATGCTAATGGAAAATAAAGTGTGGAGTTCCATACTGAACACACCGCCTCTGACTCCCTTTCATTGGCTTTACACTGGTGACCCTGACATTTTCGTGATAGATTCCGAAGACTTAATGAACATGGCTGATCGCGATGTTTATGTTAAACTGCCGGAGTTTTGGGAGCATGCCGCTGCAGCGTGGTTCACACACGTGGAGGCACACTTTCCCTGCCGACAGGTCCGTGACGGGGACCTGAAATATTTTCACGTGGTAGCAGCGCTGGGGAGCTCCACATCGTCCAGGTTGGTTAGATTTATTGCAGACCCCCCCACGCCAATGCAAATGTGAGGCGATTAAGGCCCTTCTCCTTAAGACATTTAGCTTAGGGCCCGCCAGATTCTTGACATTCAAGGCCTAGGAGACAGCAAGCCATTTCAGCTCATGGAGAAAATGCTGAATCTGCGGTGGGGGGGAGGATCCCCAGATTTTGTTTAAGGAGACGTTCCTGCGCCACTTGCCTTCCCGGGTTCAGACAGCGCTAGCCAACACGTCCATTACTGAACCCCGCGCCTTGGCTGAAGAGGCCGACCGTTTTTTCCTGGCTACCCAGCAGACCTGTGCAGAGGCGCTAGCTGTGGTGCTCAGTGCCCCCTCACCAGTTAAGAAAGCTTGGAGGGGGGCTGGCCGCGACGGTGCCAAGCCGGTGTGGGGACACAGGAGTGTTTTTACCACGCACGGTTCGGGGCCAGGGCGAAGAAGTGCATCGCTCCCTGCAGTTATAAACCTCCGGGAAACGGGAGAGCCGGTGCTCCGTAGTGGCCCTGAGCGTTGGCGGCACGAGCAGGCTTCTCTTCGTTAGCGACAGTGTCTCAGGAAGCTTGTTTCTTTGTGACACAGGCGCTCAACGGAGTGTGGTTCCTGCGTCGAGGGAGGACGTCGCTCGAGGGGGACACGGGCCGCAGTTGACGACGGCTAATGGCGGCCCCATCCGCACGTACGGCATGAGGCCTATGTGTTTGTGCAGTGTTTCCCCTATGTCTTGGCGAGGCTCCGCGCCCCGCCTGAAATTCAAGGTGTTTTTTCATTTTCATTTTTTCATTTAAAACAAATATATATAAAGCACCAAATTGCAACTGAAGTAATCTATCTACGGTCACTTTTCACATTAAACATGTGCTGTTTTATTAAATAAACTAAACACCTATGTTATTTATCCAATGTATGTGCATGTTTCAGTGTCCACTGCTTTGCATATTCACATTATCCCTCTGCTCTCTTTTTGTTTCCGCTCCCCCCCCCCCCCACACACACGAATGCACACACTCACAATCAGAGACAAGAGCGGAGGAAAGGAGAACAACAAAGTGTAAAAAAGTCAAACAAATCTGCATTATTGCCCCGAGCTCTGCTGTCTGGCCGTGTGTGTGTGTCCCCAGTTTCACATTTGTTTATTATAATTTTTTAACCTCAAGCCGTTATCGTCACGGGAGAAGAACACACACAGCCTGCCCAGGTGGACGCGTGCGAACGCAACAACGAACGTGACAAAGAATGTAGCGTGCGCATTCTAAAAATAGCTCACAGATGGTGAGCAGGTACCGCGGTTTTGAACTACAGTATTGAATTTGACAGAAAACAACAAGGAAGCGCCAGCAGAAGAATAGTCTAATGAGTTGGGTGAAAAAAAAGACGGGAGATGTGAGTTGGTTTATTCAGTAAATTCCATCCATCCATCTTCTCCCGCTTATCCGTGGTCAGGTCGCGGGGGTAGCAGTTCCAGCAGAGAGCCCCAAACTTTCTTTTCCCTGGCGACATCAACCAGCTCTGACTGGGGGATCCCAAGGCGCTCCCAGGCCAGCGAAGAGATATAATCCCTCCACCTGGTCCTAGGTCTACCCCTTGGTCTCTTCCCAGCTGGACGTGCCTGGAACACCTCCCTAGGGAGGCGCCCAGGTGGCATCCTAACTAGGTGCCCGAACCACCTCAACTGGCTCCTTTCGACGCGAAGGAGGAGCGGCTCAACTCCGAGTCCCTCCCTGATGACCGAACTTCTCACCTTATCCCTAAGGGAGACACCAGCCACCCTGCGGAGAAAACCCATCTCGGCCGCTTGTATTCAGTAAATTAGCTCAGGATAATTGGACTTTCTGCTCTTGATGTGAGGCTAATGCAGGATTTGCTAGCTTGATGCTACCGGCATTTAGCGGCAGTGACTCAACAAATTGCCTCTTAAAATATATCGTCAGCAATGTATGACAAACAGACTGTTTGTTTAATGTTAGACTCACACCAATAGCTCAATATGATCATAACATGATTGCTTTCATATTAGAGATCAGATGAGGTGGAGCTGCCTCCAGCAATAGAGGATGAGGCAGAGAGAAGCAGCACAGGGTTGCAGCAGTTATATGTTATATGCTGTAGTCAGTCAGGTGATTTAAATGTATCAGTGTAACACTGTACTTTATTACTTTCTAATGTACAAATACTTTGTTACTGTACGATATCAATAACAATAATCCACAGCTCCTCTCTCTGCTCCAGAGGATAACAAAAATTCGGGCAGCACCCTGCCAAGGCAGTAAACCTAGGGGAAACACTGTTGTGTATTGGAGGACAGCGGTTTCAGCTGGGATTTTGTGACGGCAGACATTTCTTTTCCCCTCCTCGGAGCAGATTTTTTAGGTGCTCACGGACTCCTGGTGGACGTTAAAAATAAACGCTTGGTTGATGCCTTGAGGTTTTCCTACCTTGTGTGTACTCTTGGCAAGGTGGCGTATGACAGGCTGTCGGGCTCGCTGTCGGGGGCGGACAGTTTTCTCAGGCTGTTGGCTGAATTTCCAGAACTGACGCTGCCCACTTTCTCTGCGCTCACCACGTCACCACCGAAGGTCCCCCAGTCTACTTCAGGGCCCGGCAGTTGAACCCTTCTAAGCTTGCAGTAGCGAGGGGGGAGTTTTCGACCATGGAACACCTGGGTATCATCCGCCGGTCTAACGGTCCTTTGGCCTCTCCTCTGCACATCGTTCCCAAGCCGAAAGGCGGTTGGCGCCCATGTGGGGATTACCGCCGTCTCAACAACGCCACGACACCTGACCGCTACCCGGTGCCGCACATTCAGGACTTTTCAGCGCATCTGGCCGGTACGCTGGTTTTTTCTAAAGTGGACCTGGTGCGTGGATACCACCAGGTGCCCATGCATCCCCTGGATGTTCCCAAGGCGGCAGTGATAACGCTGTTTGGGTTGTTCGAGTTCTATTTCGTATATGGCTTCGCCCTCGAAGGCTATAGCTATTGGGTTATCCCCCTGCGCCCCCGCGCAGCACTGAAACACTTGTAGTCCACGCCCACCCGCTAGGTGGGCCCCACCCGCTAGGTGGGCCCCACCCTCGGGCCTCCTTCCGGTATAAATAGGAAGGGTGCCCGGCAATCTGCTCCCTCTTTTCTTCAGAAACCAGCACAGTACTGAAGCACAGCAATTGAGAATCATCATGAGCAACAACTGCGTCCGTGATTGTCCCTCATGTGGCTCTGGGTTCATAATGAGTTATGACCAGCAGAGATAAAAGCAGTATGCGAATCCTGCCTGGAGTCGGAGCACGCGTACGCGGCTCTAAACCAGCAGGTAGCAGAGCCGGTAATTAAGCCAGCTGCCACTAATCTGTTTAAGTAGATGTGAAGGTAAACTTCTGTTGTTGCAATGTTGAGGTAGAATGAAGGAGTCTGGAACCGTTGTTAGCCAAAAGCACTGAGAGTTTTATTGGAGAAAGTACAGACAATACGGCCGGGAGATCATCTTAGTTTCACACATGTCCAGTGCTCCGCCAAAATGATTTCTGACCCTAAGCCACAAAGCATCGCTGCTACACGAGGAGAGGCCGCCCACAGAAAGCCCGCGTTTACCTAATCAATAGCCGATGGGGGACAATGGTCTGCTTGTCTCAAAGAGATGCTGCCAGGTCAACCCTCCCCATGGACATAGGAGAAGCGTTTGACCTGTGACCTCCACATACAGAGGAGTCTCTGACTGACTACAAGCAGATGTTTGCAGTATCACAGACTCTAAGGAACCATAAGAGACTCTATAAACAGATCAGATGAAAAATATTCTCTTACAGATTCACTCTTTTTATCAATCTATTGATAACCAATTAACATTAGTCTAAGAATATTTCAGTCAATACTTAAAATCAATAGGCGTCCTCAGAGTTGGGTGGGCTCAGATACATTCATTACATTAAAAATAGAACAAGATTGAAAACATTTCAATCACCCTGATTGAACACAGTCAATCATAATAAAAATCATCTCTCTTCAGTGCTTGGCATCTTTTGTCAAAAGGTACAATAATAAACACATGGGATACAAAATATTATAGCAAAATATATGTTTCAAAAAATAAGATCTTTTATCATTTATCACTCAGTTAATCTCATTCATCAAACACAGATTCTAAATCAGCTTACATCTCAAAGATTTACTTTAAGGCAATTACTTATTAAAAACACAATTAGGATTATAAGAAATCAATTGAGGTATCATTTAGGATTATGAGAAATCCAATTAAGGTTCCTAGTT